TCGTCAGACAATAGCTCTCAAACTTGGAGATGAAAAATATAGATCTTTTTTTTCATACTCTGATTTGAATTCGTATGTACTTGCACGTTGGCAGCTAGAAAATGAGAGAGTTAATTAACCAGAGATAATTAAATTTTTCATTGAATACTGGGTATTTTTACCAAATTCAAAAACTTCAACTAGCTATTATCTTGCTATAGTTGATTGGTATAGAAGAGATTACAAAAACAAGGTTATTTTCATGTAAAATCACGTAAAAAAATATTCAAAAATATATTGTCTACAAATGCCAATGGAACCTACCATGCAGAATTGTGAGAAGACCGATTCGTTAAGAGAGGAATTGTAATGATCTTACCAATTCAAAAGATTATTGGTCGATTTGTTAAGAGCAATGGAATCACATTACCTGGAAGTAAAAAAAAATTTGTCGTTATTATACCATTAAACCGAAAATTTTTAGTATAATAGTAAGTATTAATTGTATTTATTTTTATACATAAATAAGATAAATTACTGATTAAAAGTTTGATATTATTTTATCAGCTCTGAACAAAAATCATTTATATATATATCTTATCTATAATTACTGCTTTTTAGTTATACCAAAAAATTTCTTTCATGGCAAAGGCTAATTTAAACATCCTTTTGACAAGTATTGCTAGCTTAACTCAAAGTGTAAATGAAATAAAAACTATTTTAAATTCTTCAGATATGAAAAGTCAACTTGAGATAATAAAAAATTCAATCGATTCTTTAAAACATCGATTTGCTATTTATAAACAAAACCAAAATGAGTTTGTAACTACTATACAATGTATTAGCAGTAAACATGGAATTAAAATACAATGCTTTGAAGATATATTAATGACCACAACTACTACATTAGAAAATTTATTAACTTCTACTTCAGCACTTCAAGATACTATGAACAATATGTTATTCCATATTGTCATGACAATAATATTTCAAGTATTACAAATACAACAATTAACTCTCCGCGTGCTATTACAGTAGCAAATCCCGTATTTACTGCAAAAGTTTATAACAAGATGCATTATGTTAATGGATTTGATCTTGAATCTCAATTTCAAGATCGTAATTATATATATGACTTTGAACTTGGTTCTAAAAACCAGAAAAACAAAAGAATTACTCACAACTATGTGAATCTCTTTATTAAAGAATTTGACATCCAATTTGAAAATACACGTATCTATTTATAATGTATTATGGTAGTAACAAACTTTTATAATATTTAATAATTCAAACCATTTTCTAGAAACTAAT